GGCATGATTTGGCATCCCCAGCCAGAGCTGTGGAGTCTTCATGTTTGACCCATTGACGGGAGACTTTACAGCTCCCTGCGAGTGTGACTAATATCATTTTAGAGGCTAGAGCACCATCTACGAAACGCCTTTACGCCCTTAAGTGGTCAGTCTTTAGTGATTTGTGCACAGCACGCAGATTGGACCCGTCCTCTTGTGACATATCCCACATGCTAACCTTTATACAAAAGCTGTTTATACATGGGTCGCACCCCATCCACACTCAAAGTATATTTGGCAGCCATCACGGCGAATCATTCTCTTGTGGCTGGCTAATCAGTCGGCAGAAACGACCTGGTCGTTAAGTTTCTGAGGAGAGCTCGGAGATTGAATCCGCTTCGTCCTCACACTGTGCTGACTTGGGACTTGTCTATAGTCCTTAGGGCCCTAAAGTGCCCTTACCTTTAAACCACTCCAGTCGGCCGATTTGCGGCCCATTTCGCATAAGACCACCCTTGTTTCGGCTTTAGCGGCGGTCAAGCAATTGGGTGACATGCAAGCACTGTCCATCAGTGCTTCCTGTCTTGAGTTTGGGCCTAACGACTGTAGAGTCATCCTCAAACCGAGACACGGCTATGTGCTAAAAGTGCTCTCGAACCCGTTCAGAGTACAAGTCATTACCCTTCTTGCACTCCCCGTTGCAGACGGTGAGCAGGGTCCCAATCCACTCTGCCCAGTATGGGTTTTGAGAGTGTATGTAGAGCGCTCTGGCCTGTTCAGACACTCAGAGCAGCTCTTTGTTTGCTTCGGAGGCCACTCTAAAGGGCTGCCTGTCTCGCTGGATAGTAGATGCTATAGCCTTGGATTACGCCTCAGCACCCCTTCTGGCGGGCTCAAGCACCATTGGTTTGTGCAGTTACACAACAAGCATGCCGCACGAGTCCTGAAAAGTCAAGCCAAAGCGTCTCGATCGCCCTCAGGTGACTGGCTGCAGTATAGGTCATAAACCCCACCCTCTCCATGTAATGTAATAGGACCTGAGACAAACTAAACAATACATTTACACTTCAAATATTTTTTCCAAAGACATTTTCTGTCATTTTAGGTAGTTCTTAGCATGCCGATGTATCTTCAAGTGTTTGTTTTTCTAATAAGTTTGCTTTTAATTAGTTATTTGATGCTATAAAAACGAGGTGTGGTATCATGATTGTGATCTTGCGATTGGGTCTGCGGGAGTTTGGGTGGGACTTTGATACCATGGCTCCACCTCACAATCACTACTGCGCAGACTCGGGCTTCAAATGAACCACTACTGCGCAGACTCTGGCTCCAAATGACATAATTTTCGCAAGATGACAGTGGCCATATTGAGAATGTTTTGGCTTCACTTTTCTATAGTGGAAGGAAGTGGAGACACTTCGTCGCAGTGCTTGTTCTCTTATCTCAGGGACCCGAGGTTACGTAAGTAACCGGAGAGTTTCTCTCCAGTGTGTATTTTCATGTATCTATTAAGGTGGATTTTTAGCGTGAAACTTTCCACACTGAGGGCATTTGTGTAGCTTCCCGCCAGTATGAATTAGCTGGTGTTTTTTAAAGCTTCCTTTTAGTGTGAAACGCTTTCCACACTCAGGGCAAATGAAAGACTTGTTGGTCTTTGTAGTTTTTCTGTTTTATGATAAATTATTTTTTGTGATCATGGTTCTTACTTCATTCAGCTCTTGATTTCAGTTCTTAGTATCAGTTCTTAGTTAAAAAATAGGTACAGGGTATTTTTGTAAGGTTATATATTAGTAGCATTTATAAGCCTTTTTGGATAAATGTGTCTGCTAAAAAAAAAAAAAAAAAAAAAAAAAAAAAAAAAT